ACCTTCCAATTTTGATTACTCTATCAATCATGCCCTGTAGCACAGTTTCTTCCTTAGCCATTAACACAAGGTCATCTGCATATTTCACAGTTTGAATAATTTGCCCTCATAGTTTGAAGTCTCCAAGTTCGTCCAGAGCTTCTTTGGTAAGACATTCGCTGTACAAGTTGGACAAAATTTGTGATAAACAGCATCCTTGTCGAACTCCTCTTCCAATCTGCACACTTCCTGTCTCCCCTCTGTCCAGTCGTACTCTAACTTTCTGATCCATGTACAATTTACTAATCAATCTTCTTTCACGCCAATCGATACCTGTTTCCTTTAGGATCTGCATTAATTTGGTCCAGTTTACCCGGTCAAATGCCTTCTGCCAGTCTATGAAGCAAACACACAGTTCTTCATCTATCTCCAAAGTTCGTTCCGCTATAATTCTCATCATCCCAATTGCATCCCTGGTTCCTTTTCCTCTTCTAAATCCAAACTGATCTTCTCCAAGTACATCCTCGTTTTCCTTTCAATTCTTTTTTTAAGTATCTTTTGCTATTATCTTTGCTGTATGTGCAATGAGGCTTATTGTGCAATGGTCACTGCATTTTGTAGCTTTTGTCTTTTTCTTTAAGGGAATCATTGTCGCTGTAAAGTCCTTGGGCCACTCCCCAGTTTCATATATGGTGTTATATTAGTTTTGTCAGTGTTTTCAAAGCACCTTCTCCCAGTAACTTAAGCACATCTCCAGGTACATCATCATCTCCTGTAGCCTTTTCATTCCTCATGTCCTTGATAGCTTTTTCCACCTTACTTTGTAAAATATATGGTCCTTTCTCGTCTGTATCTACTTCTTCCTGTTCAACTTCTAAGGTTTCTGGCCGATTAGGTCGATCATATAGTTCTGTAATATAATTTTCCCAAATTTTCAGCACTTGCCTCTGATCTACTATTCTATTCCCCTGGGAGTCTTCAATGACAGTATTTTGAATCCCATGGTTCTCTTCACATCCTAGTTCTTTTGTCTTCATGTACATCAAATCATAACGTCCTGTCCTTTGAAATTCTATAATCTCATTACATATCTCCTCAAGATATTCCTTTTTGGCCCTGTCCATGGCTCTTTTCAATTCATTCCTCAGTCTCCTGTATTTCCTCCTGCCTTCTTCATTGTTTACATTCTTCCATTTCCTTCGCTCCTCCATTTTACTCATCATCTCCTGACACCCTCTATGTGCTAAAGTTGGCACTAATTTTGCTCGGGCAGTATAATTTACTTGCGGACTGAAACCACAGTGTTTGTTTTTTGTTTGATGATGACCTGACAGGGTCGAAACATGTAGCAATACTTCAACACAATAAACAAATACTGGTACAGTAGTACTGATTTGTTTATTATAGAATTGTTGTGTTGACTGATACATTAAGAATACCATATATCAATTTTTTATAGTGTGCATCCTGTCGTGTTATCATATTTATTATATTGTAACGTGTTGGGTATTTAACATGACAAATAACTTCACGCCGTATTGAATATAGCGAATTTTATTTCACATTCGCACTTACAATCACCCAAATTCCAATCTGACAATTACTGCTATCTGCAGTATCATAAATACTACACTGCAAATGCCAGAATACAACTGACTGGTTGCCGGCTAACTCGGAACTCTCTCGGAACTAACTCGTAGGTAGCTGCCTTGAGAACTATTGATAACGCACTTTCACTGTTTTCGTTGACGGCTAGATTCCAACTCTACTCGCAGGCTGCTGCCTTGAGGACTGTTGATAACTTGCTTGTAGGCTTGCTCAGAACTAACTCGGAACTGAACTCGGTGATGGCCACATTGCAACTAACTCGCAGGCAGCACAGCTCTCTTATATAGTGGCTGTGTGCCTGTTACGTAGCAACGCTGTTACCTCATGCTGTCTTACGTCACCGCGCATTGCGCGGGGGGAGGGGAGCGCTGACTCATCTGCCACGTCACTGTGGCCTGAGTTGCCACGTTGCTGCTGGGTAGGGAGGGGTTCTCTGTTGCGCAACATGTCACAATATATACTGCCTGATGATGGCCCCATGAGGAGTAAAACATGTAACGGTAAACAATAAAATACAATCTGTGTGGTATTCATTTTGATTGTAATACCATTTTTCTTGTGTTGACAGCTACATTACCAAACCATATATATACACACAACAGGATGCATACAATAAAGAAACCTCAGATCTCACATACTTTCTTTTTTAACCTTAAAAGCTGAAAGACACCGTATGGGGACAAGTAGACTGTCTTCCCTCCCGCATCATCTAACTGAATGTTGCATGTTACTGAATGCAGAGTCCGACGTCGCAATTCATGCACTTTGTCTGTAATTAACTCTGTTTTCCATGCGAAGAGCGCACACGCAATGTTAGTCTCGTATTGGCAGGAAGTAAGCCAGTGATGGCGAGTGATGTCCTGTATTCATAACGCTTATAAAACGTTGCAATTTCAACTATGCACCATGGCCCCTTTTCGCATTGAAGGAGTCTAAATTCATAGGCTGTTCGTAAATCACACCATTCAGAATGTGTTACAGTTTATTCTGAAGGGATGTGGAAGCAAGTGGTATGAGGTGATATTCCAAGAACTGCCTCTGTGTGGATAGTCTGACATATGTGAATAAACAAACAGAGTTTCATAAGGCAATGTAGGATAAGAACTCGCCCACACTGGGGTATACAGGAGCCTACTTGACTGGAGAATGTGCAGACCGTAAACACACACTCCTTTTGCCAGATAACCACACAGACAGTGGGTCACCACTATGCATTTATACTGCAGAAACGTATTGTGCAGAAGCTGTATGCATTTTTGTGGACAGACGCTCAAAATTGGGGAAATATTTCTTTTGGAATCAAAGTAACAATTTTTACAGATTCTGAAATCTGTAAATTACAGTATCTGATTCTATATACTTTCTAGATAAAAGTAGCATTTATTTCGTTCGTTTATCACAAAAATTGAAGAAATCACAGCATTTTGAGTAACATGGCTACAATTTTTATTACTCTACAATTGAGGGCATTTAAATTAACTCCGTCCCGCTGCCACTACCGGAATTCAAATGGCCCGTCCCCTAAGCATTAATAATTCACAGATGGGGAATGCCGATAGAAATTATGGATCAGTTCTCTATTGTTCATTTTCTGCCTCAAGTGGGAAAAGATACAGAAGAGTTAAATGTGATGTATTAATGTTGGGAGATGTGTATGGGTTGTTTCGTTGTAGTTTTATTCAACTTACTGGAACTTGCAGTTATGTAAGTGTTTGCTTTGTAGGTAAAGAGAGTTGTTTTGAACGTATTGTGTCAAGATTTGGACGCAAGTGCACATATGTGGTGGTGGGAGATGGACAGGATGAAGAAGCTGCGGCCAAGCAGGTGAGACAAATATTGTTACCATATATATACAGGACAACTGTGTTGTTTGTTTAACTTACATTTACTGCTTAGGAACTACTTGGGACAATTGACAGGATTGGTTTCAGGAAACTGTCACTTGAAGGGACACCGACTCAGATTTATGACTAGTAAACATTCCCACCTTTGAAAGGTGCCATGACAGAAGACACAGCCTTGGATGTTCTATGTGATGTTCTTGCTTAGGTTATCATTTCAGTGTAAGTTTCTATTAAAAGACTCCAGTAAGCAAAGTCCCGTGCTTTGTTGAAGGTGCAGGACTACTGGAGTGTTGATATTAGAAAGGGGATTTGCCATGGAATGTAGGTATTTTAAGCATTAATCTCATATAATTTAGTCTCATGTAAACAACCTCAAGCATTATATCTGTTACAGTTCTCACCTGTTCTGATTGATTCATTTTTAGTTCATTTTCAGTGTTCATAGTACTAAAATATTTGTTGTAGTTAGGAGTATGTGTTAGTTTTTGGCTGATATTGTATAACACTTTCATACTCTTTTGGCAGCCAAGTGTTTGGTCAGAGATGAAGCCCCAAATTAGAGATGGAGAATGTGATAATGTGCTGCCTGATTGGGGCCATCACAAAGCTGGGGGGTTAGTGATAGTTGAGTATGGTTGCAGTGGTGGAATGATGTTTAGTAAGTGAAAACTGAAGATAAGATAAGATAAGATAAGAACCTTCGGCACTCTCACTCCATCCATCACGAATCTTACATGAGGTCACTTTGGATTGAACCTCTGCCTTTGTGGTAAGAAACAGTGTCTGACCCCCTGATTTATGGCATCAGCAAGGTCGTTATAAACTCATTAGCCCAGTACACCATATGAATATTAGCAAGCGGAAAGTTTGACTGGGTCTAGATGAGTAGGTCAGATGTGCTCGAGGAATTCATGTTCAGTTTGTTAACAGTAATAACTGGAATTCAGTGTCAGTTTGTCAGGTCTAAGTATGAACAGGTTGGAAGAGTTTCTGTTGGGTCTAATTCTTCTTTGGTTGCAGTAAATCTTTGCGGTTTATACCAAAGTTGATGGAACTTTGAGGTATAAGAGGGCACCATGCTGCTTCTAGCCAGCAACCTTGTTCTTTGTCACATTTAATTTTAGCTGCCATCTGAGTTCACATGATGTCTTGTTCATTTGCAGCTCAATTTTCCATTCTGGCGAATATCGAGTCATAGCGACACTGCTGCCCTCTACAATGCTCTTGAGATGGACTTCTTATGATGTGGAATATTGTTGGAGGTGAGAATGTCATTTGAAAATAAACTGTGATTAAAGTCTTGTGCGTGTGTGTGTGAATGTATGTGTGCAGTTCGGATACGCAAAGTGCTGACTGGTGGACACTGGGTGTAAAGTTTTGAAACAAATGATGGGATGTGGAAACCAGATTTTCTAGTAAAGACAGACAGAAGATTGCTTCAGTACTCATTGTTTATTGGCAGTGTTCATTACTTCACATTTATGATAATGGTCTGAGAAAGAAGAAAGAAGATAACAGTTCAATTATTTACAACATTTGTAACATTTAATGTTTCCTCAGCTGTTTTAATTTGAATGCTATATTATTGAGTACAAAAAAAATTGAGTCGATGCAAATGTTAATGCATCTTGATGGCTCAGTCACGTGATTGTTAACACTGTTCTTGATATTAAAATCCAGAAGCAAGAGTTAACCCTTCATCTGAAGATTACTTCTTTGCCAGGGCTGACACAAGACTGAATGCCAACACAGTCATGACAAGTTTCATCACCTCCTCAGTTAAGAATACATCAGCTTTCACAGAACTTCCGCAGAATTAATAACAGTAAATTTCTGGACACCGTAATGAAAACCATTGTAGGTGTTAAAATTTATGAAAAGTGTTATTTACATTTTGCACGAAATTTTTAGATGATTACCAATCTGTGGCAAAAACTAATTTTAATTCAACAAAATAGCCAAAAAGAGGGATGTAAAATGTGTCACCCCTAAAATCCTAGAGTCCCAGGAGGTTCTTTGGTTTGCCTGCACTCTCATAGCAACCATATTCTTAGTTTATGAGCCTGTCAGTATGAAGGAACATGAGATGGCATTGTATATAATTTGGCATTGGCCTTAGAGATCTCATCAGAAAATTTAAAGTATACCGTATAAGTTGCAGATCAGGATATCCCAGCTGAAGCCGTGGAGTGTGATCTATGCTATCCTGGTATATTTTGGGCATAATGCTCAAAGTGTAAAATAATGATAAGCGGTTCCACATTAAATTAGCATACAAAGCTAATGAATGGGACCAGTTTTTCTTCAGACATCAGTATGAAGTACAAAATATTGTTCTCTAAAGATTGTGAGGAAGGTTTGAATCATTTTACTACATTTATATTCAGCATTGTTCACTGGGTGAAAAATATTTAATATATACAATACCTTTGGAGTGGAATGTCCAAAAAGTAGGCTTATGGTTGTGTCACTTTGTTCACAGCCTTATTAATGCAACTGTTTGTTGAGTTTCAGTGGCTAATAAAACACCAAATAACAGGATACTTTAGATATATCAATTATATTCTTATCACCTATGATCAAAACAAAACAAATATAGAACAGACCTTAATTAAATTTAGTAGATTACAATTGACCATAGAGTTCACTACAGAAAAGAAATCTGAAAACCTAATTCACTTCTTAGATGTCACCATAGGCAAAGAAAATAACAAACAAAATTCACAATATACCAGAGACATACACAAACAGATATCATAATTTACCGTGATTCCTGCTCCTCGTATGAATATAAATTATTATGCATATATTACTTAATAGGTTACACATGTACCCAATAATACAAGAAATATAAACAGAAGTAAGCATTGTTAACAATATACTACACAGTAACCAACATAAGGATATCCAAGTCAACAAGACCCCCAGAAATCTCCCTACAGAAGCAAAAGACACAATAGAATATCAGGAGGAAAAAAAGAGAGAGAGAGAAGTAACCAAATGGGCCACATTCACTTACAATAGGAAAGAAGTAAAACAAATTACAAAAGTATTTCAATTACAAAAGCATTTCAAGACACTAACTTAAAAATAGCTTGTCACACAAGAAACTCAATAGAAAACATTTGAAGAACTAAACCGGGTAAACTAGGTATACAGAGTGATTCAGAAAGATGGACACAATTTCAATTGACTATATTTCCTGAACTGTATGTTGCATTTGAATTCTGTAAAGTACATTTGAAAGAGGATGTTACAAAGTTTCTAGTACTACCGCTAGTGCCCTCCATCACTGCGTCTCGGGCCGATCGCGTGTATCGGAGGAGAACGTGGAGTGCATTCGAGTGAACTTTGAGTGCAGCCCAATGAAGTCAACCCGTAGTGCTAGTAGAGAACTTGGACTATCGCAAACAACTGTGTGGCGTGTACCACCTCTTCCCACAAATTTGAATGACCTAAGAAACTGTATCACAGCTGCGGTGAACTCAGTGATGCAAGATATTTGTCATCGAGTGTAGGATGAATTCAGCTACCGTCTAGATGTTATCCGTGCAGCCGGAGGAGGGGGGGGGGCACATTGAACATCTATAAACTTCCATGTATGTATAATCAAGTGTAATTTACAGAATTCAAATGCAACATATAATTCAGGAAATATAGCCAATTGAAATTGTGTCAATCTTTCTGAATCACCCTGTATATGATGGAAGTGGCATGCACCAATTGAAATGCATAAGACTTCCAATTGTGACACATTAGACAGGCAGGATGAACATAACTAAATATAAAGAACTCATCAGGCTATATGAAACATTGACATGGGATATTCAAACCGTATATTGAATGCGAGACATGCATAAGGAGCTGTAAGTCGCTCTGTGGATGACATAAAGGCTGGAAGGAAAGGAAAACCCTGCATATGAGTGACATACATATAGGCACTTAACGACTCAATATTTGAAACCCTCCATCAACTTTGTGCAAGATAACAGGACACACTCCCAAAGCACAGCAGTAAAAGAATATATAAATAAATAAAACATTTTACACAGAAATCTGCATTAGTTCTTCACTGTGTAGCAGCATACACCATTAAACATTTTGTAACGTGTTTTGCTGCTGAAGACGCCGTTTGGATTGTTAATTGGTTTATTTAACAACCTACAAGTCTTGGATACAATTAATTATAACACTGTTATGGGTTTACACACTTTACAACCCTACACAATAATCTCTTAGTAGTCTTCACATATTTACAGTACAATACGGGAGCTACACCAGTGTCCGTGTATTACACACTCCCAATACATTCTCACACTATCGCTTCTAATCACACGTTCCGGTACTCTTCTTTCCGCTACAACTGAACTCGGCGACTGTTCCAATTCAGCTGTCTTCGGCAGCGGCTACATTCTAACTGTCTGGTTACTCACTACTGAATAGTGTTTGCTGCTCCCTATTTAGCCTTGGCACGGACAACACAATACAGTGACGTGATAGGTACCGTTGTTGCCTGACGCCATGTTTACAGGTTTCCTAGCAACACTGTCGAGTGTTGTTTACTGCTCTGTAGCAACCGCAGCATCCCTCGCTACGTCACCGTGGGGGAGGGGGGGATTGTTGACTATCCTCTTACCGTAGCAGTGGCAACGCTCCGAAGGTGTTACATCATCGCTGGCGGGGGAGGGGGTGGTCCTGCAAAGCGCAAACCCGTCACACTGCTCCCTTCTAAAGGTTGTTTGTCCCGAACAGCCTAATGGTACATCCTCATTCCTTTTTCTTCCTGTTGCTGGGCTTGCAGTGTCTCCTCTTTTGGCTACTCCTCTTGCAACGACTATTCTCTGTCCTTTACATCCGCTCCCCTCTTAAGACCAGCTTGTCTTGAGCGGTTTCCTGTTAACTTGCCAGAAGATCCAGTTGTATCACATTCATCCATTGCACATTCACTCTTGCTCGGGAGGCCGGTGCTTCTAATTTACCAGCTCCTCTTCTGTGCTCTGATTCTTTTTCGTTTTGGAGGGGGTCGACCCCTCCACAAGGTCCAATTCTTGATCATGTCTTTCTTCGGAAGTTCCTTATGTCGACATAACAGCACTTGAAGTGTTGTTTGCACTTGCTGATGTCGTCGTTCCTCCCGGTCTTCCCGCCACTTGCTGGTACGAGACCGTGGCGCAACAGTGCCCACTGCTAGTTTCTCTGTGCTGCTACGGGCACCCCTCAATGGTTGAGACTCATGATAAGGCTGCTTGCAGAGACTGTAGACAATTGTCAAAGGCCAATTCCTTTCTCCGGCATCCGAAGGTTCCCTGGATAGCTTTCTTGAAGGCATCTCTCCAATGTCGTGGGATACCTTCCTGCAAGTGGCAGCCAACTTCATCTGGGATACACAGTCTCCTGTGTCCAAGATTTCCTGAAGATGTTCCTCCTACGCCATGCCACTGTTGCATGGTGGGACACCTTCCTGCTGGTTTTCTTCTGCCGTGCCACATCCACACGGTGGCTCATCCCTCTGCGGGCTATGGCCAGCTTTGTTTGGGGTCCACAATTTTTCCATGTTGAATTCTTCATTTTTCGCTTGTTTCAGTCCCTACGCCTTTCCTTCTTCAGTTCTCTGACCGGCATTACTTCGGTATCTTCTACAGGTACCTCTCGTTCTGCCACCTCAGGTTTCCTGTCCACTGAGGTTGGCTCTTCTTCTGGACGTGCCTCCACCTCTTGGCAGGCCATCATCTCTGCCTCTTCATTAGGAATCTTATGTCACTTCACTACATCCTCTTTTTTTGCTTGGATATGTCTTGATTGCATCTTGGCAGGCTGTTGTCTCTTCCTGCCAGGCATTCATATTGGCTTTCAACCTCTTGGCTCACATGACGGCTGTCCTTGCTTCAGTGGCTCTAATTTTGCCATGAAATCTTCATTGTCTTTCCTCCTATTGGCCTCCATTTCTTCCTTGTTGGCTTTTCTATTGGCCTCTGCCTCTTTCAGCATTTTGATTATTAGTTGAATGTTTTGCTCCTCCATTTTTTTCGTAAATTGAATACCTTTTCCTAGATCAAGGCGTATTCAAGTTCGTAAACCAATTCTGACACCAAATGTGATGTGTTTTGCTACTGAAGACGCCGTTTGGATTGTTAATTGGTTTATTTAAAAACCTACAAGCCTTGGAAACAATTAATTATAACACTGTTACGGGTTTACACACTTTACAACCCTACACAATAATCTCTTCAGTAGTCTTCATGTATTTACAGTACAATACGGAAGCTATACCAGTGTCACTGTATTGCACACTCCCAATACCTTCTCACACTATCACTTCTAATCACACGTTCCGGTATTCTTCTTTCCGCGTTCACGATTTGCTCACTACAACTGAACTCGCCGACTGTTCCAATTCAGCTGTCT